TTGCGGCAATGATAGAAGGCGAACACAAAGATTGTCTGCAGCCTCAGTGGATGAACTGCTTGTCCATGGCCTCCGAGCGCTGCGGGACACTTTGCAGCAGGACAAGGAGCTCCACATTAATAACTGCTCCGTTGGAATTGTTGGAAAGGCTACAAATTTCACGATCATTGAAGGGGAGGCTCTGCAGCAGTAAGTCAGTTTGGAAAGTTTTCATCGTGATCATGGTACTGATGACAAAGCGGCACAGGTATTTGGACCTTTTGGCAGAAAAAGATACAGCTGAGGGTGGGACTGGGGGTGGGACTGGGGGTGGCGAAGCTGAGGCGACGACCGACGACCCGGTGGCGATGGAGACCGAATAATCTTTCCAATAGTTATACTTTTGCGCGTTGGTGCTTTTTCCTTGAAATTGTCCGGATTTTGTTTGGGCTGTACCACATCCCCATAATTATCTAAGTCCAATGGTCCGGACATCCCCCCAAACCAGCTGAAGCTTTCCCAAGCGCGGCTCCACACAAACCCCGCAAACCATCGCTGCACAAAATCGCCGTATTGACCTTCCCGATTTCGGGAAACTACCACCCTTATTGAAGTGCCCGTTTGCAATGATACGGCAGGTTGGGCCCGACCCTCAACGACGAGACCGTGAATGGAGGGATTTAGGGTATCGACGAGATGGTGCACCAGGTGCCAATCACCGCGATCCTCCCCCAGCCGAGGCCCGTCCAACTCCTCCTGCACCTCCCGCTATGGCTGCACATAAATCTTGTCCCTCACCTCCTTCTTTGCTGTACGACCGAAGAGCAGACACGCACTATTCCAGAGGCCGGCTTTTGGGAGAGGTGAGATTTCTGGAGATGGCACCACACAATGAATGTGCCTGCAACTGTAGCCAGAATACGGTACCGAAACAGAGGGCTGCCAAGTCCCCAACCTCGTGCCGGTAGCTTTCCACTTGAAAGTGTTGTGTCCGGTTGACTGCGTTTTCCTTTTTTCTTCCTGGCCGAGGTTCATCCTCACCGGCCACCCACTAATGACTGCGTCTTTGTTCTGTATTAGGGCGGCTTCGCCAAGTGCTACGAGGTTACGAATGCCAAGGGCAATCGTTTGGCTGCTAAAGTGGTTCCTAAAGCGTCTTTGAAATCCACAAAACAAAAGAATAAGGTAAGAGGGTGGGCACCTTGTCTTTCGGAACGAAGTTACCCTCAACGCACCCATTGTATCCAGCTTATTGCAGAAATCAGAATACATCAAATAATGTCACACGATCATATTGTCACTTTTCATCATTTTTTTGAAGATGAGGACAATGTTTACATGATCTTGGAGTTGTGCGAAAACAAGGTACACAACATGGATGATTCCTTTTACTCAAAAAACCCATCTTATTCAAACTTTTCTGTGTGAATAAGACATTTGTTGACATGCTGAAGAAACGCCGACGTCTAACCGAGCCGGAAGTGCGTTACTACATGTGGCAAATGCTGGACGCAGTTCGTTATATGCACAGCCGCAATATCATTCACCGCGACTTGAAACTTGGCAATTTGTTCATGACAAAAGACATGAATCTGAAGTTGGGGGACTTTGGCCTTGCTGCTATGCTGAAGCAGGATGGGGAGCGAAAAAGGTATTTTCGGGATCCGCCGAGACGGAAGATTGGGACATAAACACTTGCTTCCATCATTTCTTCTTCATTCAGAACGATTTGTGGAACCCCAAACTACATTGCACCTGAAGTATTGTTTGATCAACGGAATGGCCACAGTTTTGAAGCGGATATCTGGTCAGCAGGTGTGGTAATGTACGTATAATGCGGCAGACTAACCGGATTGTCCGAACTTGTCGCACGTTTCTGTGATGGGTCACCGTAGGTTCTTATTCAACCGGTTCATAGGTACACCCTCTTAATAGGCAAGCCCCCATTTCAAACAAAGGATGTCAAATCAATATATAAGTGAGCTTCTAGAGTTCGATTCCTGCCCATCCCGAGAACCTTGAGCGCCATTACTAATGCCGAAGAATGAAGGAGGATTGGAGAAGGCCGCTTTGAATTTCCACCGCAAGTGGCGATTTCTGACTCTGCGAGAGCTATCATTACCGCCATTCTCAACAGCCGCCCAGGTATGCCACCGTCTCCGGGCTGTTGTCAGATGAAGTGGGACCTGATCGGAATTCTTGCTTCAAGAATGCCGACCCTCCGTAGATGTCATTATGAGACATGAGTTCTTCACAGGGGAGTCAATGCCGATGTGGATTCCCGAAACTGCGCTGGATGAACCACCACAATTAGAGTTGGCAGAGAGCCGAGCAAAAAGGTCACCTCAAAGACCGCCAACTCCGAACGCACGACTACATCCAGAACCACTTGTGAGCCGCGTGACTGACAGGATGGCGGGTATGTGGTTCAATGTCCACAGAATATTTCAGAAACGTGCGGGCCGTCTCACGGAGTCAGTCTTAATCTTAAGAAATGCAACTAAATCATCGGCCCCCAAGTGCATTTGTAGGCGAAGAACGTGAGTAATTTGATTCGCACGAAAATTCTGCATCCGGTTGGCTGACTTTGTTTGCTTCCTTGCCAAGATATTGCCTCCAGCTCAGGAAGAGCGAAAAGGCCACCAGCCGAGAAACCGATGCACTCCATGAAGCCGCAGCTCGGTAAGGCTTGTCAAAACGCACTGTGCCACATAGGAGCTTTCCTTGCCTTACATTGTCAGAACCCAGAAAATATACCCCCGATGCCGGGCGCGTGGCGGGAGGCAGGCGTGAATGCCGGATTGTGCGTAATTTTTCAGAGATGCGCAATTATGACACCTTCACGTTTTCCTAACTGGCGTCCATCTCATGTCGGCAGGGAACAGCTCCACACACAGGGTCGAGTGCAAGGTGAGAGTCTGTACATCTGCACCGTTCACAAATTATCAGTACCGGTGATTTAATCAGTCCATATTTCTTACCGATAAGCGGATTTTGGCTTGCCTACTCCAGAGTCAGAACCTGAAATTAGCGAGCCCATGCCGGCCCCGCTTTCATTATCGCCCTCAAAGCCTGGCACCCCGCGTCCCCCATCACCCCCAATCGAAGAGGAACCTAGAGAATCGAGGACATCCGTGAGGCCCAGTTGCGACAGCATTAACGGGAATGAGCCCAGAAAACCACAGGACATTCTTCGCCACAAACCTGAGAGTGAGATCGGAAAAGAATCATCTAAGGTTTGGCGAGCCACTGACTACATTTGTTTCCGATAGGCCCACGGCGGAGTTCGAATGTGCTTGAGGCCATGCATCGCAATCTGACTTTAGCTTTGATCGAGCGAAGTAACAATTCCGAGGATATCCTCAATGGTGCGACGACTGATTAGCGACAGGGACCTTGGGCAGTATCTGTGGCAACTGAATCATTTTGTTTAATGCGTCCATGGCCGATAGAAGCACCATCCCCAGACTTGTTCATCACCAAATGGATCGACTATTCTAATAAGTACGGCTTGGGTTATCAACTCCGAGATGGATCGGTGGGAGTTTATTTCAATGATTCCACAAGTATCATTCTTGCAGCGGACAATCTGTACGGCGGGCAGCGATGTTTGCTTTGTTTGCGGCATCTCCGCGTGCTGAACTTAAACTCTATATTCCGCTCATTCAGACATTTCGAATATCTTTATTACGATAGACGAGGTTCGGAGAAAGGAGCCATGCATCGCAAGGCGCATACGCTGCTGCAATATCCGGTCGAGCTGCAGAAGAAAGTCACCTTGCTGAAGCACTTTCGTGGTTACATGCAAAACAATTTGCACCGAGTGAGTGTAAGCGAAGCCCGTTTTCCATGTGGAAGTCCGAAAGCTAATAATATGCATGTAAAATGCACTGCCACAGGGGTATCCTCCTGGTTCGGCCGCTTCTCCTAAAACGCAAAACTTGGAATTTCTCACCAAGTACCTGCGAACAAAGCACGGCGTCATTTTTCGGCTTAGCAATCATGTCGTTCAGGTGAGTTTTTTCGAAGTACCTCGTTGCGGATGTTCTTGTGTGTTACAAACCCGCGAATTGTCGTTGTTGTCAGCTCAATCTTTTCGACCACACGAAACTGATTCTATCGTCTGACGCCATGGTTGTCACGTACATTGATAAAAATCGCGAGTTTGCCACCCGACCGCTCGGCGCGTTTGCGTCCATGGGCAGCAAAGAAGTCCTGGATCGGCTGAAGTATGCCAGGGATGTTCTGCAACAAATGATCTTGAAAAAACAGCGACGAACTGAAGGGGAAGTTGGGTTTGGAGAGCGGGGCAGGGGAGCGTACGTGAGCAGCGGTAGCGCTGCGCCCGGGGAACCAGTCAGAATTGGCGCCGACGGTCTTGGAAGGTCGATGCGAGATCTGGGAGACGTCGGGCGAAGCATCAGAAGATGAACAGCTATTTGCATTCATCGCAATGAAATGCCCAGCGCTGAGCTGTTGCGCCGTGTTAATTTAAACCAAACAAAACAGTTTATGTGGATGCTCACTTCAATTTCTTGGTGTCGGGTATGTGGCTTTTCGGGAAAATGGAGGAAACGGTTTTACTTTTCCTGCCGTTTTCTGTCCTCCTGTTGTCATGTGGTCAGAAATGCGGCGCAGCCACAAAATGCCAGTATTTTCATGGAATAGGGTCAGTCACATATCATGTGTTTTCCACCCCCTTTCCGATGCAGAAAGAGGGGGTGCGATATCTGAAGCAAAAAGACAGGTGTTTGGATACCCAGTCAGCCAGGCTGAGTCTCTTGCTCAGCGGGTATCCAGAGTGACGAGTATCCGCGGAAATTCCGAGCCGTTTTGCCCGTTTCTCAGGCCGAAGCAGATATGTAAGTAAGTTATTTACCGAACTTACTGACTTCTCAGATACTTAAAAATGGGGTAGCCCCAGTGTTATTTACCTAACTTACTGACTTGAGAGATACTTAAAAATCGGGTCCCCCAAGTGTTACACAAACACGTTTCCAACTTGGCAAAAAGTTTCAGCTTGGGTGCTGTGAGATTCGAACTCACGCATCTTGCGATACTACGATTCTCAGTTGAGACCACATGTGGTCATGAACCTGAACGTAGCGCCTTAAACCACTCGGCCAAACACCCGCAAACAATGTTAAACATTGAGAGTAGCCCGTGGAAAAATAAACCATCATTATCCCTGCGACGAGTTGCCTGTCAAAAAATAGCACCAGCATGGTGTCTCGGAATGCAAAAGGTAGGTATTTTGAATGGGAAAGTGTGCGGACAATGCTTCGGTTGCAGGTGAGGGCAACTCGTCTGAGCCATAGCCAGAAGCGGGTTCGGTAAGTTTTTGGCGTTGAAACACTGGAGTGGAGCAAATGGGCGTTTTGATATTTAAACTGGTAAGAACCGTGTGTGGACAGCATTAAATGCATTATGAATGATACAATGAATACAATTGAAATGGAGGTAAATACACTCCATGAATGATAGATAATAGAATTTGCAAGCCTTTCATTTGATTTTTCAAGTGCATTTGGTGTCAATAGCACAGGTGCCCGTTCCCCTTGAGCAGCTGCGAGGTTTTAGGGTCGAGCGAAAAGGCCTTGTCTGTTGATGCAGTCCGCCAGCAGCGCCAATTGGATCCCAAGTGAAGGCCACAATAATGCTAGTGCATACTGAGTCCTGGCAGAAGGGACGCCCAGCGACCCAGTTCAAGACTCCCGGCCAACAATCGCACCAAAACAGAGTTTACTTTTGGCCAGGCCCGCTCTTTCCGTGTTTATTTCTCTTGTCACTTGTGTGGGAGAAACCACCAACCCTTCGTTACCCTCCTCCACGACTAGCACAAGCCGCAGGCGCATCCCGCGACTTCCACATACACGCATGGCAGATCTTGGGCGACGGCGTTCCACCACCCTCTCCCCCTTCTTCTCCTTCTCCTTCTTCTGTTTGTTGTTCTTCTTCGTCTTGTGCCCCGGAAGAATCGCCATCGAGATCCTCGTCATCGACCAATTGGGCATCCCTGGCGTTGCTGTAGTCGTTTCCATCTGCCTGTCCTCCACTTTCTTCACCTTCATCCTTCTTTTCGTCACTATCGACAACGACGATATCCGATCCTCCACAACTAGGTACGGCTGCGGTTGTGCTTTTCACGGCCATGGTGGCCGCAGTCTTGCCGACGTTAATCGCGTCCATGTCCATCCGATCCATTGTTTTGTTGCCGTCGTCCTCACCACCCAAAGACGTCAACAAGCCGTCCGCATGCTTTGCATGTAACGGTAATGCCGCCACTGCCATCGTTCTCAAAGATGTGTCCTGCACCTTGTCCCCACCCTTTTCTTCAGCCTCTGGCATCGGATCCCTAATTGCAGAACGGGTATCCTGGCCGGTCCCCGTCGTTGCTCTCATATCCGCTTCAGCCCCTATGGCACCACCCTCGACATGCGCCATCTCAATATCCCTATCCACATCCACACCCGCATCCCGCATCCCCATATCCCGTATCTCGGCATATCCATTCCCGGTTGGCCGACCCCTCTTCTCGTCCTTCCTCTTCTGGTCCTTGTTCATAACTTTCTTCTCATCCCACCATGCGGGTGATACATCCGTTCCACATCTCACACACACCCGCTTGACAGGTGGGTGGTCCATGAACGTGTCGACTGGAAGGCACACGGATCCTCTCTTCCTTGTCGTCACCCCTGGTACCGCCGGGGCTGGTGCCGGTGTTGTGGCTGCATTTGTTGACGAGGCTGACATGGGAAGAATCGTGAGGCTCATACTCGTCGTTCCTTCCCCATACGCACCCATCCCATCGTTGTTACTACAATGACCCGACTCTCCGCAGGAGGACGACGACAATGAAGAGCCGTGTTTGGTGCCGCTCGTCCCGTCCATATGGCACGTGCATAACCCTTTCAGAGCCATCGAGTCCGCTCGTTTTTGACCGCTGCTGGCTCCCACGTTTTTGGTGTTCCGTTTTTGGGTATGGATGTATTGGTGCATTAGGGTGGTTTGGGACGTGGCGGCGGTGGTGGGGGACTGGGTGAAAATCGAAGTGGGTATCGCGATTGTAGGTGTTCCATGGGCGTGGTGCGTACTTCGTTCATTCACGTGTGTGCCTGATTGGGATCTGAGCGGGTGCGGTGGTGGTGGCGACAGTGGCGATGATTGTCCAGGAACCGATGAGGATAGTGATCCAGGTAACAATACCCTCGGTTCGTGTGCTTTGCACCGCGCAACAGCAATGTATGGCGCCGATCTCGATCCTTTGCCTTCCTCAATCGCTATCTCCCATCCGCTTTGTTGCGCGCAGGATACATGCGCTGGGGTGGTGCATGAGCGTTCCGTGCAGGTAATGCAGGCGCCTCCAGGAGTTTTGCAAAGAGCGCACGTCTGGCACGATCCGAATTGCGGGTAAGAGGTATATCAATATTCGTTGATTGACATGTTTCCAATAGGGTCGCCTCAAGAAAAATCTCCCAAAGAACAAACCTGTTTCCACCTCCTCTTGTCAATTAACCCAATACACTCAACAGGCTCCAATGTCTCCACATTACCAAACTTGACTTCTGGAATCCACAGGGCGCACGACACGTGCACCCAGTTGTTGCCAACCGTGCGTTTTAAAGCGCACTCGCGGGTAGGGATAATGGTGGGGCATAGAACGCATTTGTATAGCTGGAGTTATGGAGAGTGTTACGTCAGTAAAAACGGAAGTTGAGACACAGGTTTCGGAGAGCACGTACCAAGGAGGCTTCGGGCTGTTGGATATTCTTGCAGCGGGCGCAGCGGAAAGGGAATTCGAATTCCGGTGGAACTCCATAGCAGTCTGATAAAGTGAAAAAAAGGTGTATCCCAGTCCCGGACAGGCGGCAAAGTGAGCTTTTGAAATAATGTCCCTACCCCGACAGGCCCCACTTTTCAACTAATCCAGCAGCTCCTTTTTTGCCTCCTCACCTTGATGAACTCGCAACTTACACCCAGCGCACGCTATTAAGACATTCCCCGGAAAATCATGTTGTCCCGCACAGACAGCGCAGGGATAAACCGTAGCCGATTCAGGACTCTCTTCTGCAGGAAAAGCGGACATAGCGCCACCTGAAACCTGAACCTTAATGCCGCCTCCTGGTGCTCGGCCCTTCCTTTTCTTGGATTTCTTGTCAGAGTCTTGAGGTGAGTCCTCGCCGCGTTTGCGTTTCATGGGGGTTTTCTGATGTACTGAGGCAGCGTTGGTTTTTTGAGCGACATGATGAATATTCCAAAAAGAAACAATCTATCAAACATGCGAAATTTCTAAGTTGAGGAAGTCTCTCTCTTTCTTACCTTTCTCCCTATTCGCTCTCTTGGATGACTCCGACACAATCCTCATTACCCCATACTTCAACCAATATTGCGCACAAACATTACACAACGCCTCCCTCTTATGCCCCACATGTCGTACCTTCCACGACACCGCATCGGCCACCCAACAATTCGCACACTCTTTGATGCCGCTTGTGGAGGGAACTCGAGACGATGAACCTGTTCTTGAAGAAGACATCCGAAACTCGGCTTTAGATGATGCGGAGGTTGGAGAGTGCGACGAATCGTCATCTGATTGGGAGTGCTCGCTTGGGTAGTGCTCGGGGGAGGGGACACGGTCCTTCTCTAACTGGTTGACATTGTCTGTTTTGGTGCCTTTTAGCTTTTTTCTGATTGGGAGTTATGTTCAACAAAAATTTAGTCCATTCGTCTTTTCGGCACGAACATAAGTGGTGTGCAAAAAACTCTCAAATGAACGTCACATACCCTGGACGGTATTTTTTGCAGAATTGCGAATATACAGCGACGTATCGCCGCGTCTTCTTCCATTTATAGAAATACGACACGATCTCATTGATCGACTTCGTAGGCACCTAAGGCAACAAAGCAACCGTTGGCATCCTCTTCTGGATGCGAACGCTCAAAGCATTGAAAAGATGTTTGCTCACCTCCTTATGAACCCAATGTAATTCGTGACCATACTTCGCCACTGCACCCTCAAAGGCCTTTATCTCATCATCCGTCCACTCGACAACGCCGAGGTCAGCGGGCGTGAGTTTCAACATGGCGGTGACAGCAGCGCCACGATCGTACTTTGCTTTGTGCAGTTCCTGCAATGCCCGATCGATAACGTCGACGGATTTGAGATTTAGTGGCAGATCGTTTTTGATTTCATCAAGGTATTCGTCGACTGAAATTTTCCAAGACGAAAAAGCAGATGTTTACGGGAAATGAAAGGAAGCAGGCGAGCGTCCCACTGTGCTTACGTTGGGCGTCTGTCCAGTCTGTCGGTTTGGAGAAAACCACCTCGGATGGGCCACCACGCTCGATAGGCTCGGCGCTCTCAACTGCTGCGACCAACACAGAGTGAATTCAATGGACAAGTAAGCTTACAATAGAGGAACAGTTTCCGCCGCTTACAGTTGGATTTGTCCCACAACTTAAGTGCCTTCTTCTTGCCCCTTCGCGTCTTCGACGGTAGCTTTATCGCCCCGTCCGAATCATCGTTTGATTTCACATCATCCGTCAGCAGCATGGTGGGAGAATTGGTAGACTCCATTTTGGATTGAGACATGAGAGAATCTTCGAGTTTGTCACTGCCAGCAATATCCGAAACATCCGCTTGGTAGTTTTTGCCGATTCTGAATTGACGCACGTAAACGCTGGGGTTAAAATCCGGAGTTTGTGCGAAAAAGGCGGAGGGACGCGTCGTGAATTTCGTGCCGGACATACCGACTGGATGCCTTGGGGTGTCCTCTGTCGGGACCGATATCTAGCAGATCAGCCATCTTCGCATATTCACCAAAGTAGCGGAATGGCCATATTGGCTTGACGTCCGACGCTCCTTGCCACGCGGCCATTTCATGTTTTACGGTCACTGGCAGTGCATTGGAGAGGGGGTTATCGGCGATTGATGCACAACTCGCATTTTTGTGTAAGTTGTTGAACTACCTACCATCTTCCGGTTCCAGCTTTGCGCTGCGCTCTCCATGGTGCTTCTTGGCACCTTTCACCTCTTTTGCAGCTCTTGCCCTCCCACTTGCGAGGGTCTCGGCACCAGATGCCGTCTTCAAACACATGGCACATTCCCAAGCATACCCCTTTGTAGGTTTCTT